TTTTTTTTTTTTTTTGAGACAGTCTCACTTTGTCACCCCCGGTAGAGTGCCCTGGCACCATAGCACACAGCTACTTCTAACTTTTGGGCCCAAGTGACTCTCTTGCCTCAGCCTCCCGAGAATCTGGGACTACAGGCACCCTCCACAATGCCTGGCTATTTTTAGAGATGAGGTCTCACTCTGGCTCAGGCTGGTCTTGAATTCATGAGCTCAGGCAATCCACCCACCTTGGCCTCCCAGAGTGCTGGGATTCCAGACGTGAGCCACAACACCTGGCTTTTAAAACTTAGTCTTTCTCTCAGCTAGTTGAAGGACACTGATAGAAAGCACTTGGCACAGTGCCTAGCAGGTGGTAGGTGCTCAATAAGTAGTCTATTTACAAAAATAGAGAAATTCCCAAGGCCCTGGGTTTGAGAAAGCCTTGGGAGCCCCTCCTAGGCCTGTAATTTAATTCCTAACTTTCCTGATGATAGGGCATGTGTAACTGGGAGGCAGGGCCTGGATATGAGGTCCATTGCCCCACGCTTAGTTCCCAAGAACTGTGGTCTCCACCCCCCAACCCCCGCAGGGTTGTGGACTGGCATTGGTCTGTGACCTGATAGGAACTAGCTGTACAGCAGGAGCTGGGCAGTGAACAAGTGAGCAAAATCATCTGTATTTACAGTTGCTCCCCATGGCTTGCGTCACCGCCTGAGCTCGGCCTCACATAAGATCTGCGGCAGCATTAGATTTTCACAGGAGCCTGAACCCTACTGTAAACTGTGCATCTGAGTAGCTCAGAGCTCCCAATGAGTCTGCATTATGGTGAGTTGTATAATTATTTCATTATATATTACAATATAATAATAACAGAAATAAAGTGCACAATGAATGTCACGCACTGGAACTATCCTCCCCTGCCCCTGCTCCATGGAAACATTTTCTTCCATGAAACTTGTCCCTGGTGCCAAAAAGGTTGCAGACTGCTGCCCAAGAAAATCTTCCCCAAGTATGGGCAAAAATGACAGGATTAAATAAATATTAATGTTGATTGAAAATCCAGTCTTCTCCAGCCACATGGATCTGCTTCTGGGCATTCCACATGTCCTGCCTGTTCCCATTCCCATGCCCTGGTGGCTTTGGATGCTCCCTCCATCTGCTCACTGCCAATCTCTTACTTCCAAATCAGCATGAAAACTTAACCTCCTCCACACCCCCCTGAAGAACGGCCTCTCTGCCAGCTGCCAGCTGGCCCTGCATCCTCAGCTCTGTCCACTCGCCCTTCACTATTTTGTTTCATAAAATCCAAATTTTAGAGGAGTAAAATGATTATATCTGTTAAAATCTCCATGATTGAAGGCCCAACATTGTCTTCTGCCTTGGGGAGGGAAATTACGCTACCAAAAACAATTGCATCAGTAAACATACTTCACTGCACTTGCTGGCTCATCATTCATTTATTCTATACCCATCTAATAAGCACCTACTCAACGCTGGTCACCACACTCAGCCCTGGAAGCCCTGAGTAGAGTCGTGGTCTCTGTCTTCCATATGAAAGCCCAGGACCAGAGAAAGGGTGATGGAAGCTCTATGGTGGAGCTGTCCATAGTGGACCTAGGGGTGGGGTGCATCTAACACAGGCGGCTATGGGGGTGGGCTAGGGGAAGACTGGGTTGAGTTATTGGAGATTATTAAGTCTAAGACAGATGGGAGGGGGTTATAGACAGAGGAAGCGCCTGCTACATGGGAAGGCAGACAGGTGTGAGAGTATATGGGAAATTATATAAAACTGGTTTTGGAAAGTAGTGAGAGATGCCTTTTTATTTTAATCTTTTATTCTGGCTGTATGAAAGATCAACTTAAGGGAACTCTATAGTAAATCAATTTGGAAATGCAAAATCATAAGATATGATTTGAGAAGCAATTACTCCTTAAATTTTTCTTTCCTTTTTTCTCTTTCCCTCTCTCCCCTTCCTACCTTCCTTCCTCTCTCTCTCCCTCCCTCCTTCTCTTTTTCCATGACTTGTGCTTTTTTGTTTTTTTGAGACAGAGTCTCACTCCGTCTCCCTTGTTAGAGTGCTGTAGCGTCACAGCTCACAGCAACCTCCAACTCTTGGGCTTAAGTGATTCTATTGCATCAGCCTCCCAAGTAGCTGGGACTATAGGCACCCGCCACAACACTCGGCTATTTTTTGGTTGCAGTTGTTATTGTTGTTCAGCAGGCCTGGGCCAGCTCGAATCCACCAGCTTTCTTAACACCTGCTTTTCTCACAGTGAGGTTCATGGACATAGTGTCACGTTCTGCAAGTGATTGATAAACATGCACTGAGTATGCCTGACAGTGGCCTGTAGTGTGTGCAGCCCATGCATCTTGTCACAAGTTCCCAGACTCATCAGGCCTAAGTTCTAGCAATGGTGTAGCCACTTTGCCATAACAGGCTGGGTGACTTTAGAGAGTTTATTGCCTCTCTAGGCCTTCCTGGCCTCACCTGTAGTACAAAGACAAGATTAGATTGCTTCTCTGGTTTCTTCCTACTCTGAAGTACTGTATGATTCTAATCCTCCAATTTTATAAGGTCTGGCTCAGTGTGGACCCCTAGGGATGAGACAAATGTCTTGGCCAGGAAGAATATGAGAAGAGCTATGCATGCATACAGGAGCATGCAGGGGAAACGGCTCAAACTCTACCCAGACCCACCACCTCCTCCAGGGAGGGAGAGGGCCTGAGTCTCAGGCACAGGAATGACTAGGCTCTGATCCCCAACTGAGGATCAAGCTGTGACTCAACTCTGATAAATGAGAGAGTAGAGGGAGAGGAGAAATGTGGATGGAGAAAAGAAAAACCAGAGTAAAAGGAACAGAAAGGCTAAAATAGAAAGAGGGCAAAGAGGGAAAAAGAGAGAGCAAGAAAAACTCAGTAGTGGAATCAGAGGAAGAGAGGAGAAGACGCATCTACTGGCAAAGCAGCAGGAGAAGATCAACTTCAGGTAAGCCCCCCAGGCTCTTTTCTAGGGCAGGTCACCATCAAGAGACTAACAATATCCTTTAATGAACAAGAGAGGGACAGAAGGTGGGGAGAACAAGGACTGAGGTATGACATCTGCCTGGGACAGGGCAGAGGCTAACGATCTAAAAGAGGACACCCCCTACCTCCAGCCCCTGCAAACTGAGTTCTTTCAACGAAGCTGCTGCCAGGTATAGCCCAGGACTGCACACCCTCCCTGCCTGGGGACAGAAGGGAGTCCAGACTGCATTTCATAGCTCTCTGACCCGGCCTGGATCCTGGGATCCAGATCCTGATCCCTATTCCTCAGCCTACCATCTTCCTGCAGGTCCTGCTTAAAGAGATTCTGAAAAGGAGAATCCTTTTTCCCTGAGTGTAAGCTCCATGAGGCCCAGGGTTTGTTTTTTCTATTTTATTCACTGCTGTCCTCTAACACCTAGAATGAGCTGGTGTGTAATAAATGTCTGCTGAGCGAATAGCAAGCCAGGCAGCAGGAGCAGCCCGGTGTGCGGCCCTGCGGTGTGGCGGGAGGTCGGAGAGCGCACCTTCTTCTTGCTGCAGTAGATCTGCCATTTCTTCTCCGGGGGCAGTGCAAACATAGCCTCCCGGTTTCTGTCAGTGAGATCCAATTCATCCTGCAAAGACAGCAAGAAAAAAGATGACTGAAACCAGGGACAGCTGAGATTGGAATATTCTTCCCCACAGGGAACTGCAATTCCCCCCCCAAATCTATTCCTCAGCCTACTATCTTCCTCCCTAAGAGGGTTAAAAAGATAAGGCAGTTCTTTTTCTACTAGGAATACAGCCTCAATCCAAGCCCGTGAGTATTCAATCCACCCTCCCTTTCCTCCTGCCCACCCCCACCTTGTCTCCGCAAATGCCTTTCCTGCTCCAGGTTGCCCTGTACCCTGCCTGTCTCCTGCACTGCCTTGCTAGCCCCAAATCCTGTCCTCTTTCTCTTATCCTTAAGCTTGTCAATACCACAAGCTGAGAAAGATTGGGGCTAGTCCTGCTTTTCTCTCAGAATCTTGTCCCATCCTTCAAGTCTCCCTGCTCTTGGAATCTCTCCCCAGAAATTCTCTGGCTCTCCTAACTTCAGCAAGAGTCCTGGCACAGGCTGGAGAGAGCTGATGAGGACAGGGGCTGAACAGAAGAGGAAGGGTGTGCCATGCCTAGGGAGGCGTCCATCTGCTGCCCACAGAGGTGGTGTCTGCCAGAGGCAGCCCCTCCACCTGCAGGGCCACCAAGACAAAGCTGAGCACACACAGGGCGCAGGCTCCTGGGGCCCAGTCCACACTTCCCAAGGAGCAGAACTGGGAGGTTTCTGAGCAGTGACGGGTGATTTTGTATTGCGGTTAGCTGTACACTTGTCTTTCCGAGCCAGTGGTCTCTATCACAAAATCAATGTGCATTTCTTGGCAGGGTGCTCTTGGGGCTGCTCATTCCTCATTTAATCTCTCTTCTTGGTCCCTTCAGCAATCACACTTCTGGGCAGTCTCTCCTGCTTCACTCCATATTCCTCCTGGGCTCCTGTGATGGCTTTTCCTTCTCTATTCTACTTTAAATGCTGAAGCCTCCAGGCACCAGCCTGTGTCCTATCCTCTCCTCCCTCTGTGCCGTGCCCTAGGTGAGGCCTTCTCTTCTCACCCATTCCCAAGGACTCAGTCATCATCCTAAAGACTCTGTAACCTGTGCTCCTACCCACCAATCTCCTGAGCTCCAGCCTCTGGGGCCCAACCACTTACAGTAGCTCTCCACTGTAATGTCCCTCAGGCACCTCACACACTCAGAGTGTCACTATGCATCAAGTATATTTATTCATGTACTTAAAACTTGCAACAACCCACTTTACAGATGAGAAAATGGGTGCACAGAGAATATGCTGAATTCATCATCCCAGCCCCCTAAATGTGAGTCTGCTCCAGTATATCCTGTCCTGTTCAGGGCTCACCATCCACCCAACTTCTCTTGTCAAGAAACCTGGGTGGTCTTTGATTCCTTCTTACTCGTCTATCCTACCAAGTCCTATTCTCTTTCCTCTCAATAGCTGCTGAATCTGTCCACTTCTCCCCATCCTCGCTGCCACTACTCCCCCTCATTTGGATTGCTGTAGTAGCCTGGCATCCTTCTTCAACAGAGTGTCCTACACGGTCTTTTAGAAAAGCAGATTGGATCACATCAAACCATTAATCAATGACCTTAGTCATTGCTTGCAGGATTGAATCCGAAGTCCTTAGTTATTCTGGTCTTCATTGTGTCCCTTAAAGGGACTTGCGACTCTCACATCTGCTGTTTCTTCTGCAGGGGACCCTCTGCCATTGTCCTGCACCCACATTCACTTATCTAACCATCACTGTCTTCAGGTCCCAGTGGAAATAAGTCATTGCTCACGGAGGCCCTTGCAGCCTCTACACTCTGGAATAGAGCTCTCTGCTAGACACTCCCAAAGCCCCCTGGATACTCCTGGTCCTCACACTCACCACATGTGTCACTGCTCTTCAGAATCTGTCATCCCTGTTAAACTGCAGGTTCCTGCAGGCAGGGGCAGTGTCTGATAGTTCATCTCTAAATCCGCACAGCTCCCCTGGGACGCAGCACACAGCAGTCTCCACAAGGATTTCTGATTTGTTCGATGGATACCCCACACTCTTCTTGCAACCAAACTTGTCAGGCTTACTCTTGATTTTGCAAAAGTGCCTTACAAGGGTCGCCTGCCCCACTCAAGATGCTCGGAAAATATTTGTTAAATAAAAGGGCCAAGGAAAGGAACACCACTCATCATGTCCTTTAAAAACTCACGTAGTCTACTCAAGAAAAGGCCCTGACTAACACCAGCCAGGTTCCAAATGCTACTCTGAGCCATGCTCCCACATTGTTGCCCCACTCCTAGGAAAGGTATAAATCAGGCAGTGAAGTTCCCTGAACCTGCCGTGATGAGGAGGCTGGACAACTTTTTCACATAACCCCCATGGTCTCATCTTACACCAGCCCTGTTATTTGAAGAGCTGGGTTCCCTTAACCAGGTGCATCAACTATCAAATACAAGTAAGAAACCACGTTCCAAACCACATAAACTGTTTCTACACTGGCCATCAAGGGAATGAGTGACCAAGAGCTAATAGTAGATAAACTTGGGCTATGGCTTTATGCCAGAGTTTAGGTTCTGCACCTCTGGTCTGAGACCTTCTTTGGTGTGAAGGCTTTTCTCACCATCAGACCTCCAACAAGAGGAATTATGCTTATTTCCTGTTCTGTCTCCTTGTGTCAGGGTATGAAGTTTCATATATAAGGGCCTCTCCCATAGGCAGACTGGTGTACTGGTCTAGATGGGCACTGCAGAGTCAGGAAGGGCTGGTCCTTGTGTCAGTGGGGGAGCTTCCAGCTATCCCAGCTAGACACAGCATATAATCATCTCGGACCCGAACCAGGTCCCAGATGTGATAACAGCATCTCTGCCCCTATAGTTCCAGCCAGTCATCCCTTGTTCCAAGGGGCCCAATGTCTGGGTATAGGATCCCACTCTGTCCTTTCTTCCTGTCCCAGAGATTAAAGGCTCCTCAGGCAACTCCAGAGAGCAAATGAGAGAAAGGAGGTGTCACATGTCCTGATGTTCCTTGTGACTCCTCACTGCCTTATTTTATGAAAGCCCAGATCTGCCCCTTCCTATGGTAACCTAAGGGCTGCATGTAATCTGGAATCCAATGCAGATAGGAGATGGGCTCATTCTACTGGACATACATTTCATGGTATCCATCCCTGTGAGATGATCTATTTCCCTATGCAGCTGAGGTGTCCTGGGCAGCCCACCTCCTCCCCAAGAGGAGTTTCAAGAGGTGGCAATTGCAGTACGGGGGCCCTGTTCTCTGTCTTGTCCTGCTTGTCCATTCACCCTCCTCCCATTTTCAGTGCCCTCCCTCCCCACTCTCTCACTGACCACCAGTTCTGCGAAGCGGACATTAAGCTCCTCAGGGTTCGGGATGGGGCTGGAGAACTCGATGTACTGCAGAGGGTGGCTGTCCCGGAGGTTGATCTCGGGGAGGTCACTGCCCCCGAAGCAGCACAGGAAGCCCAGGCCATGGCGGCTCCTCTTGCGGGGGGCCATGGTCACTGCAGGCTAGGGGGTCAGCAGGCAGATGCCCTAGGTCCTCATCATGATCTGGGTACAAGAACAGAGAGCACAGAATGGTCAGGCATGGCAGTCAGACAGGCAAGGGCAGAAGTCACTCTGCCTTCATAACATTTGTGTCCCATGGACTGTCAAGAGCCCTTGACCCTATAGCCAAGGACTCTCCCCTCCTCCCACAGCCTCCCTCTGTCCCCTCTAGCTCTTTCCATGGGAAGCATTTATGTGTCCTCCCCACCATGCCCTTGGAGTGTTTCCTGCCAGAACACTTCCCATACCCCCTCTGTGCCCCAGGGAAGAGAAGAAGGCTGTAGTTATAGAAGGGACTTCCAGGTGGGCAGAGCTAAATCTCCATGAATGTGCAAATGGCATCCTATTCCCTATTGTCTGGAAGATCAGTTTCCAGCAAGATGTACTTACTCACTTGATTCATTTCAGGGTGTGGGTATAACTGATTTCAAGGCATTAGCCAATGGGGAGCAGGGGTTGGAAAATGCTGGTGGAGAGACATCAAGATCACCGCATAGGACAGCTCCCAGAGCAGGGCCCTAGAGGGGCAGAGACCTGAATGGTCTTCTCATCAGTCTGTCACACCCAGGATATTTGGATAAATGTGAAATATCAACAAGGTAAGGGTTCATCCATCCACCTAGAACAGTGGTTCTCAACCTTCATAATGCTGCGGCCCTTTAATGCAGTTCCTGTAGGTCGCAACCCACAGGTTGAGAACTGCTGACCTACAAGAAGGAGGTCAATGTCCCTGAGAGAGGTCATCTGGGGAAGCCATTAGAGTGAATTCTAGGTAATGGTTCATAGAGTGAATTCTTGGGATGGTGTTCAACATATTGAAAGAAATCTGCTCAGATCTGCTTTTCATACCAATTAAGAGGAGAGAACACTGCTCTGGCAAGAGAGTAGAATGATGGATGTCCGACAGGTGGGTGGCTGTTGGAACAGATGGGGTTAAGTCTTTGGCTTGCCAGTGGGAGAGCCTAGTGTCTGGCTCAGGAAGAAACACCAGCCCAGATCATTAATGCCACATAGCCTCTAGGTCAGTGAAGTCCAAGGCCTCCAGAACCACCTTCAAACACTGGTTCCTGAACATGCTTTCAGACAACCTGGGAGGGTTCAGCAGAAAGACCCTAACTCACACACCAAACTGCTGCCAGCCACACTCTCCCCATCCCATAATTATGAACCTTAAATATCTAAAAAGACAGAGAGAAGATTCTGTTTTTATCCCTGTTGAATATCGTCATTTTGTGAGGGGTGTCAAGATACTTGATTCTTGTTGTCACCTGCATTGTTGCTAAAACTGTTGACTATGGCAAGGACACAGACCCTAATGACACAACAGCCTCATCTAGGAATGCCAGAGAATTATTCCCAGTATTCTCAGGGGGAAGTCCTTTAACCAGCTCTCAATCCATGTAACTACCACGCTCTCATCTAGCTCTCTTTCCTACAAAAACAACATGAGAGATTTCCCCTAAAGCCCTGTGGAACTGAAGAGATGCTAAATGGAGGGCAGTCCTGTGAACCCAGCTCTAGAATCTTATCAAAAAAGAAAACAAGATAAATTTGGCCTAACTTGTTCTCAGTTACACAGGGTAACTTCGAGAGAACATTGCTTTATTTCCTAAGTCCTAACAATCTAACTAATCTTTAAGTGTAATCTTATCTGGCCTCTTCTGTGTCATAACCTATTTTAATTGTCATCCTTTTAAAAGAACAAATGTTTACTGGCTCCATTTTATCTTTCTTTATAAACTTTTAGACAGGCTTTTTAATAGCCCAGGAGAGCCTCAAACAACATATGATCCAAGGGTGCCTTGTACTTTGGTTATCTTTTTTTTATTAAATCAAAAAGAGGTAGAGCATGTATACATTAAAGCATTTAGGGGGTACAGCATGCTGATAGTACTATTGGTCAACTTTGCTCTGTTTCCATATTGGCTCTCACCAGCACAGGGAAGGCTGTCTGAGGGCAGGGACTGCCTCTGTCTTCTTTGACAGTTCCTCCACTTCCCCCAATTTCTACAGCCAATAAAAGCCTTGCACTTAGTGGGTACTCAATAAATATTTCTTGGTCAATTAGAAGATAACCTATGCCTGTGGAAAATAAGAAAAGAGGGTCCTTATTAAGCAGACAAGACATCTCTGACTGCAGCAGTTGATAAGTAATCAGGAACCTTTGTATGGAATAAGAGGACCACCCTGGAAGCTGGGGACAGGAGAAGCAGCAGGCTGGCTAGTGCAGCAGTGCTGGCAGATGGTGGCAAAGACCCGAGATAGGCTGGCAGCTGAGCAAAACAGAGAGGAAGTGGGACTTCGGGGTTTCCATGCAACTTGATAAGCAACGGCCATGAGTAGGTGAGACAAAGCCCTGGCCTCTGACTGTCAGGCTTAGTAAAGTCAGGCAAATGGGGTGGACCAAGCTTCAAGTGTGGGATGATCACACGAAATGCAGACCAGATCCCCTTTGTTTCATCAGCCTCCAAAATGCAGCTGCAGCTGGTGAGCAAGACTGCTTTGTTCAGGGTTCAGAGATGAGAGGGAAGCTCCTGGGGCTGTGGGGAGCCTGGCTGACAGCAGGGGGGTGGGGCGAGGGGGAAGGGGTTTGGGGAGGGACAGGCTGCTGCCTGGGAGGACCTCTGAACACCTCTGCCTGCCTTCACCTCCTCAACTTCTCGTTCTCTAGTCTCTCTCTCACCTTTATTTGCTCTTCAGCTCCTAAGCCAGGCTTTAACGGGGGGAGTCAGGGGTCAAGACAGGCCTGGCACACACCCGGCATGCTGTGCCACCATCATACTCATGATTGCTCTGGCTGGCCAGTGCCCTTGCCATACCTATTGTTAGTATTTTAACATCTCTCCTGAGAACAGGCAGTGAGGTGCAGTGGCCCTCAGGAGGAGGGACGTGTACACAGACCCTCCAAACAGGAAGCACCATCCCCCAAGAAAAGGGCCTTGCACACTCAGGGGACTGCTGCATATTTGCCCTTTTAAGGGGCTGCCTGTTTGACAGCTCCCGAGAGTGTTTATGTTCTGAGGACAACCCTCTCCCAGCTACCCCTGCGTAAGTCTTTTCCTGCTTCCCTTTCATAAGGCGCCATCTGAACATCCAGGACAAAACCCGTAGGCTCTCAGCTGGAAGGCGCCTCAAAAATCATGTCACTCCGTGGTAGAAATGAGCAATTGAGGTCCAAAGAGAAAATGTCTTGTCTTCACACAGCTGGGGACAGGGCTGGGATTAAAACCCAGGACTCCAGCTAGCAGACTGCAGTCAGATCACTGTCCCTCCAGAGAGCTTATTCTCCCACCAGTGGGCCTTTCCCCACCTTGCTCCCAGGCCAACAACTTCCTTCCCTTACAGCAGACACATCTCTATGACTTAGTTCAGAAATGCCTCTAGTCACATGGTCCAGGAGAGGATGACAGAGGCTTCACATGCCACCTGCTTTTCCACAGCTTCAGTAGGAGCTCCTTCTGTCTTGCAAGCCCTAATTTATGGCCCAGTCCTGCTCTGATGCCTCCTTCACTCCTGCTCCCAGTGGTGGAGAGGGTGGAGAGGCTCTGAAGCCAGATAGACTGGGGTTTGCCTTCTGCCTTTGCCTCTCCAGCTGGTGCCCCGGGCATGTCTCTTAACCTCCCAGGGCCATCATCACCAGCAAGGTGAGACTCGCCCTGCCCTCAGCCTGCAGCCCTTTTCCAGGCACAGCTGGGGCTAGGAGTGCAGATTTGCCCAGCCAGATTTAAGAAGTCCCCCAGCCTTGCCTTTGCAAACTGGGAATCCAGGCCAGAGGAGCTGGGTTGCTCTAGCTAGAAAGGTAAATCACCACTGCCCCGGGCAGGGAGTGGCAAAGTGAGGGAGCCAGGGCAATTCGTTCCTGCCAAAGCCCTTGAGAAAGAGGAGGGATGAGGTTTCTACCTCAGAGAAGAACTGAGGCGCAGTGGGGAAATGGAAGGGACAGGGCAGATGGAAACCCAGCAGACCTGAACTCAGGCCAGAGGACTTAACCTGCCCTCCCCCACTTTTCTCCATAGAAATCTCCCCAACATCAGCAGCTCCCTGCCCCCCACATCCTGTCTCCCTGCTCCCTCCCTTCTTCCTGTGGGGAAAAGGTCATCTCAGGTCAGTCAGTCCCTAAACACAGACCAACTGGCATAAGACACCAAACCAACAGCCCATTGACCAGCACCTTCTGTGAAGGCTAGAAAGTGCCTCCAAGGGGTCCCTCAGTCCCCTGGCTGGCGCCAGACTTCACCCACCCCCCAGTGTCACAGTCCCAGCACCTTGGAAGGAAAGCACACTGCCTTACCTGGGGCTAGTCCTGGCTCTGTCCCTAGCCTGCTGGTGGTTAGAGACTGCGGTGTTAGCCCTTCTTGGGCACAGTTTCATCTCTGTCCAATGCTGGGGTTTGACCAAAAACCTGCAAGGCCTTGGACAGCCCAGACAAAGCCCTGACCTTTCACACCACCTGACTCCATCCCAGTCCCAAAGGTTTCCCAAGAGGCTCTCCTGCACCTGTGCTGAGCACGCTCCCAGGTTCCACCCTGAGCTGGGCTTCCAACCACTTGATTTCATTTCTCACATGTGGTCTGTAAAGACACAAACACCAACCCCCACCCCAAGCCCTCACCCCTCGGTTTCCACTAAACGGCTTTTGCACTTTAGGACTTCCAAAGCCCCATATCATCAGTACTTATTCCTTATTCTTTGAGTAGAAACAGAACAATACTAACACTTAAGACTTTGAAACATGGCAGACAAAGGCGGTATTTAGGTTTTATCCCCATAGCAACTCTCTGAGATAGGTGGTTTTATTTCAAAGAAGTTACTTAAAAACAAACAAATAAACAATAAACTCAAAAATGCAAAAAAAAAAAATATCCTGTGGTTTGGAGAGGTTAAGTAATTTGCTTAAGGTCACACAGTTAGTTAAGATCATAGCTAGGATTCAAACCCAGGACCTTCTGACTCAAAAGCTATAAACCACTAAGCCACAAGGCACATAGCCAAGAAATAACCTA